TAGAGAGAAATGAATTATGTTAGGGTTTGAATAGATTAAGTGTTTAATATTTAAAATAAAATACCTGATTTTTGAATAAATAAATTGTAGACTTGATTTTTAAAAATCAATCTTTAAACAATTGATTTTTTATAATTTTCCCTTTGATAAACGGACGCCAAATCGAGCTAGCGTGGGCCTTGTCCAAAAGCGCAAACGTATCCATGAAGTATACATTTCAATCCATTTCATCTTTCTCCCTTCTTGCCAATTTGCGTGTCAAAATAGAACCCCATTCCCACCGTTTTTACCCAATCCTTGACTCACATCCCTATAGATTTCTACACGTATGTATCTTGGGAGAAGATTAGATTGTTTATTTTTATTACTTATAATTTTTATTTTGAAGTAATCGTAGTTACTATTTAAGAAAATTGAGATCTTGGTTCCACCCGAAAATGTTATTCATCTGGTTCCGGTCAAACTAATTTACTGAATTTAAAGACGAATTGAATGTAAGAATTTAGTTTAACTTCACTGTGTCCAAGTAAGATTGACTTTTGATTTTTCAAAATTTTCATATAATTTGGAGATTCGATTCCCGTCAGAGCATTTGCATCTTTCGGGTATTTGTTTTGCTAAAAAGTGTGAAATGTTCGGTTTTCATTCCGTGAAAAAACAACTTTTACTAATTGAATCGGATATTCCTTTCCTTTTAGTTTTTTTTTTGAATTTGGGGGTTTTTTGTTACTGACAGATTGGTATCTTACGGTGGAGGTTTTCCAGGGTTCTCGAGGCTGATCAGACTTCCGAAGCGTGAATTTTCCATCAGTAATAGGGTTGATCGCAAATTTGTTGAACTTGAAGGATCCAATTGGAACATCCGAGCTTTCAGGGGCCTTTCAATGATGAAATGCGCTCTGCAGATTGCAGAATTAGTGGGAGCTGGATCTGATCCCCTGAGGAATTGAGCTCATGAATCACCTAGCAATCCGAGTACAGTGATTGGTGGAAAGTAGCTGTATTAAGGGCATGGAAGAGGACTGTTCATTTGAATAGAATTTAGAAGACGGTAGAAAAAGGGACCTTGTGGGAACTCAGGTGATAATAAGTTGTGGGTTTCGATATTTTCACGCTGTTTGTTTGAGTTGGGGAATGATTTGTGCCATAATATTTGGCCAGAAGACAGAGGAGGTGAAAGTAATGACCATCAAGTGTCATCGGCTTAGTAGACCAACTGCAAGAGCAACTATCAAAGAGAACTTTTCCTTTCTCCAAAAACCTTTTGGATTAACTTAGTTTTTCTCTGGAAGCTTGGCTTCATCAGCTCTGAATTCCGGAAGTCTGTATCTGGTGTTTGTCTAGTACAGTGTTTATTTAACTTCTATAAATATTTCACCTTGAACTGGGGTTGAATTTCGATACATTTTTTGAATTTGCTCTTGCATTTTGGAGCTAACATTGTGGTGTACTTGGCTTGAGGCTGGAAGTGAAGTGTTGGATTTTGGTTTGAGTTTAGAAGAAAGTAGTGTGTGAAGAAGTGGGTTTTGGCTCCTGGGTCTGTGGAGAGGAGTTTAAACAGTGATTATTGTAGCTGGAAATGCAATGCAGTGTCATGGTGCATGGACAGGAATATAATTGCTGGTCGGTTCACATATTGTATCACTCCTACTGTGTGGAAACAATCCAAGCATTCTGTTTTAGTGACTGTTGTAATTTTGCTTGTACTGGGGTAGTGTGCAATGTCTCGCTGCTTTCCCTTTCCACCACCTGGGTATGAAAGAGAGCACATGCCTGAAGACTTGGATTCATTGAAAAAGGTTTTTTCATTTTTCTCTTATCTGCTGTTATATTGTTGTCTCTCTTTGTGTTCGACTTTATCATTGCCTTTCCAGGAAATGTTGGCTATAACCAACAGATGGAATTCTATGGTTCTAATTCTGCTTTAGCAGCATTTAAGTTGAGCAAATGAACCTTCACATCGTAGTTCCTCAAGTTTACTCCGATAGTCTAGTTTATTCTCCTTTAATTTATAGTTGTATGTTCCACACTCCAATATGCAACATTTTCATGCTATTGTTTTGATGCTTTGGTTACAATGAAAGCGCCAGCCTGTTGATTAGCATTGTGAATTAATTTTGTTGGAATGACACTACCAGTTCGCCAGCTTTGATTTTCTTTCTCAGTTAAACCTGTTTGTCGATGAATGTACTTCATTATTTTTAATTGATATCATGTGATATATCTCCCTGACTTGAAATTTGGTGAACCTTTACTTGTTGTATGTTTGCTATATTAGCGTGGGACATAATTAGTATGATTTTCTTTTTCTATGCCATTGTGTTAAAATTCAATTATGTTTTTCTGCTACCTGCTTTATGGAATGAGGGGAAAGATACTATGAGAGGAAGGCAGTGAATTTCTATTTGCAGAATGCCTCCAGTATCATATGTTAAATTTTAGTGTGTTTTAGTGACTTACAGTGCATGAGTTCTACCTTAATGCTGGCCTGAATGTTGATCTGACATAGAACTGTTCTAAAGCGGTTAGTGGCGATATCATTTATATATACATATAAGTTTTTGATGGGTTGGGTGTGTGTTAAAGGAGGAGCACTAAGTTGGGTTCAGAAGGGTTCTGGACGGATATGGTTTTCTAAAATTAAGATAGACATCAAGGGTTGGAACTATTGTTATTCGTGCTGTGAACCACTAAACCAAGACTAGTTGTGATGGTTCTCAGAGCAATCGGTTTCTTGTCAGGCCATGAGCATAGAGTTCATTCAATGGACTAGATGCATCAATTAGCAATGTAGCCAAAAAAAAGTAGTAATGTAGCATAATCAAGTGTACTGATTATATTCAGGGCTTTTATTGGAGTATCCAAGAAACAAGTGATGGAACTGACATTTAAGGAATTACTTAAACAACAGAGAAATAAAAAATGTTTTAGTTTCTCTTTTGCACCCAACACTTCAGGGAAATGATGGAGTACAAATTATCATTAGTTTATTACTACTGAATTGTCAGTTACCTCCTAATACAGTCTCCTAACTTTTGGAGCCAATATAAATAATCCTAAAAACTTGTGTCCAAACAACATCAAGGACAAGAAAGTAAGCTTTATTTCCAACACAGTTGCGGCCAAAGAACTGACACAATGTACTTAAATATAGTGTTGTAAATATATTGGGACTTGAAAAGTAATCATGTGAATTCCCATCTAGATTCATCATTGCACTTGAAATTCTCAACTAAACGGATTAGGTGCCAATTCTAAAACATTTAAATAATTCAAAAAAAGAAAAAAAGAAAAGAAAAAGAAAAAGTAGAGGTCTCTATGAAAGATCCATCATTGCTCTCGAACTTTATGCAGAACCTTTCTGCTGTTTCCATAATGGCTACATTGAGCAGTCTGCCGTTTACATTTCTTGGTAGTGGCATTCCATGATTCGGCGTGTGCCTGTAAATATAACTGAAATTGTGTGCGATCTGTGGGGAAGGAGGAGTCTTTATTGTGCCTGCTTTATCTAATAATTTAAATTGCAGCTATATATACAGGCACCCAATTTATATGCTGAATTAGTTTGTTGGTTCCTCTTTCTCCTTTCTGCTTTATGAGACAAGGCAAGATATAAGTTCCAAAAAGATAAAAGATAAAACATATTACCAAAAACATTTATGGAGAGCATAACCTTGATATAATCCGCCCCCTTTTTTAAAGTAAAACATCAACACAACCCTGGTGGGTTTTTAGGCCCCACCAGGGACCTTTATTTAATCCCTTTCAAGAGTTTCTGAATAGAAATTTAGATCAGCTTAATGAAATGTATTGAAACGATTTTCACAGAATAAATATGACAAAGCCTTGAAATATATATTTCTCTGCATATATAAGATTAAAAGGAATCCATTTATACTTGAGAAAATTATTGCCTTCGTTTGAGGTTCCTACTTGATACTGCTTGATGAAATCCCGATTTATTGAGGAAAAATATATCTTGATTCTAGTTACCATAGATAGAATATTATGGTTGTTAGAGATTGTAGGAGATTTAGTTTCCTTTTGTAGGTTATTCTTTTTGTATTATAAATAGATGTCTTCATTGTACAGTAGGGTAAGGTGAAAAATAATAAAGTTTTTTCCTCTCTTTCTCGTCTTCATCTTCTACACTGCTGTTGAAATAAGTTCTCTCCAATTGCAGCATTTAGCGATGAGCTGCATCTTTCATTGATGTTTTAGAAGTTATTCTATAGGGGCCTCAGATCATTTGTTTGAAATATTGCCCTCTCACCACCAACCAGAACGGAATTAAGGAAGAAAGACCACAATTAAATCTTGAAAGATAAGAAGGAAGTTTGTGAAACCATTTGGAAACAGAAGTGCGGTTGAAAGCAAAAATAAATCTCAACGAAAAACTAACACCATCCTATAGGGACAAAAGGGACTACTGAGATATGTGTTATTAGAATAGTAACGTATATATGATGCCACGAGGCCTATGACCATTTATTGCTAACTCCTTTGCATGGGAATTTTGCTTGTGTGCTTGGAAGCTCGTTGATATTTTTTCCTGCTTGCTTGTGGAGGAAGAGGCGATACTCTTTCCATTATGGAATTGAAGCTGATTTGTGTTGATTTTGCATTTCATTCAGTCAAAAGATAAGAAAATGCTGACAGTATTTAATTGAATAGAAGTTTGACCTGCTAACAAGGAATCGAAAAGGTATGCTGCTTAAGGCACGGATGGGAGTTTCCCCTTCGGATAATGAAACATGAACTCAAACAATGATTTATATGGCTTTTGTTTAGTCGTGCTTGCAGTTGAGAGAAGTTGACTGGACTTTCTGTGTGAAAGAAAAACCTTCGGACAAATATCGATAAAGCTACTTGGAATCCATTGGCAATAGGTCAATAATTAATTTTGATAGTCAGTCAAAGAGGTGAATGATCCAATGGGTTGGACTATATACCAATCTGACGGCTGTGTCAGCTAAGATCCTAGGGAATAAAATAATAAATAGGTCATCTGTTGCCTCTAAGCTCGAAAGTCTTAGTGTAAAATGCTGTCAGGTGGTTCTTAGCTTAGGGTTCCCTTTGTTATACTAAATATAGGTGTGTAAGTGGCTGGTAAAACTGCTGTTGGGCAGTGAACATAATAAAAAATAGACCTTGGTGGCCTATGGCCAAACTGAATCTTGTTGGAGGGTTTTCTTTTGGGATTGAATCTCTTTGACATGGCAGAGGCCATATTGATGAGTTACACAGGCTCGCGTAGAGGTTTCTAGTTTTCTGACATTTTCTGTTCTTGCATAAATATGAATACTTCAGGATACCGATACTGAGAGGGAAATGGTAGTGGTACCTTGTATAAACATATGGGTGAGGGAGATAGGGAGAAAGTGAGGGAAGATTTTTGACAGATATGATTACATATACTGATGCATCTCTTCTTCAATATTTCATGGATCTTCTATTAGTTTGCAATCACGATTGATTCAAAATTTACCTGTTTAGTTATTATTGATGTACTCAGTTCTCTATTTCATTGAAATTCCTATACGACATTACTTTTCGTGAAGGGCATTTATCTTCAACTATGATTTACAAAATTTCGTCTTCTAAAGTCGTGCTACTACATTCGCGGTTCATATTTGACCATTTTATTTAGTAAATTGTAATAATGTAATTTATAGTTTTGAGTAGAATGTGCTGATAATTCTTGCGGTTTTAGGAAAAGCATAAAGAGAAAAAGCACAAGAAGAAGGAGAAGGAACGACGAGAAGGTAAAGAAAAAAGGGGAGAAGAAAGAAGTGATGAAAAACACAGGGAAAAGAAAGATCGAAAAGAAAAATATAAGGACAAGAAGGAAAAACATAGGGACAAAAAGAAGGGCACGGAGAAGGACAGGGAGAAAAACAAAGAGAAGAAAAGCATCTCGGATGAGTCAGCAGTTGCTGGGAAGCTTGAGGAAAGTAGTGGGGATAAGCTTCATTCAGGACACAATAAATTCAAAAGCAGTTTCACATATGAAACGAAACACGCTACACAATTTCTGGATCAAAATGGAGGGATTCTTGTTCAAAATAGCCTTCTTCAGGGATCTGAGGAATCAAAATTTGTGCAGGAGCTGGACAGGAGAATTAGAGATGACGAGAAGGGCGCAGAGAGCCAGTTGCTTGAAAGAATTTCAGATGTCAGCAAAAGGGATCAAGGGGCAACTGCTAGAGCTGGTAACAGGGATTCTTCAGGAGTATTGGCAGGGGACAAGGGAAAGAACAAGGATAAGATAATTGATAGTAGAAAAGTAGATGTGCTAGGATTCAGGGAAGAGTTTGGTGCAAACATGGCCCAGAACAATGCTGGAATGGCCAAAAGTAAAGTTGAAGCAATGCCCAAACCAATGGAGGAACACAAGGATAGTAGGTTGGAAGGTAAAGAGAGATCAAAAGAAAAAAGTGACAACAATCAGGGAGACAAACACAAGGGCAAAGATAGAGATAAAAAGGTCCATGGGAAGGACAGAGCCAGGAAAAAGGAGAAGAGAAGGGAGGAGAAGGAGAAGGGAATAATTGAAAATAAGAAAAGCGAGCAGGATAGATCCAACCATGTAGGCAGGAATGATCTTGTCGGTGTTACAAGCAATGTAAGTACACATCTATTGATGGACATCAATGGAAGTTCTGTCGATGAGGGAAATATCAGGAAAATAGAAGATGTGAGTGTCAATGGATTTCTTCATGGTGAGTCCTCTTGTACAACGGAACATTATAATAAAATCAAACTATTTCAAAAGTTTGTTTTTTAGTTTCTATTGTGGCTAAGAGAATCAGGAAAGCTTATCGGGCACTTCCTGACATTTTATGCATCTTTAGGATGCTTTTGTCAGGTCTCTTGTGACTTCATCGTACTTCCTGTAAGCTTGTTCAACTACAGGTAACCTTCTCTATAGGCTGATTAGTGTTGCTTATTTTACAGAGAGCGAAGTCAGACCAAATAAATTGCAGAGGCTTACTCCTCACCAGCTGACAGAGAATGAAAGAAATTTTGAAGCTTGCCAAAATCCCATTGTATCTGCTTCTTATAAACAGATGTCTCCTTATAATACTTGCTCGGATAACGATGACCAGAGGATGACTGTTACTCTTGAAGTCCATGAACCATGTCCATCTAAACCTACGCCTTTGACTGCTACTACGTCTATTGATCAAAATGTTGAAACATCAAAAAAATCAGTCCATCGAGATTCCAAGTTTCCGAATGAAGTCCTCAGGGTACCCAAGATGGAGAATCTAAATGCTGAAGCTTCAAGGAGGCCTCCCCATCCCGATTTCAAGTATCTTAGTGAGATTCTCACAGTACCCAAGATGGAGGAGTTGCAAACCGATGACCAAGAGTGGTTATTTTACAAGAAGGATCCTCCATCGAATAAGCCCAAGGTGGGATTTTGTGGGGTCAGGGAAGACATAAGCGTATGGTCTGGAGCTATGTATATAGAATCAGCTGAGGTTTATGCTCTGCCATATGTCATCCCTTACTGATCATTTAGCTGTTAATTTGGTGCTGCCCAACGCAGTTAACCCAAGAAGCGACGTTGATTATACCTGGCTACAGAGATGGATTGGTGTACTTACAGGATTATTGGCTTATTGCACCATTCCATTGCTGTGGTAGCATACACAATTCTTTGCCCTGGTTCTGAATTTTTTTCAGTCGATCAGAATCCATTGCATGATTGTTTCCGGGTGATGGCGTGTCTCGTCTCCCAGTGTCCAGGATATCGACCTAACTGATTTATATCGGAAACTTCCACGAGGTAGCACACAAAATTGAGAAGTGTCCTTCAGGAAGATGCACAAGCACCTGAATTTATTTCACTGCTTTCAGCTGGTACGCTCTCTTTTCTAACTAGTGTAAGAGTAGCTTTAGTTTCACTATCACCATAAATGTAATGTAGAAGGGAAATGGGTATTAATTCATTTCATTCACTTCAGATGTAATCCTTGTTTATAATCCCAGTTTCCTGCTTTTTAACGTTGTTCTAATGGCATTTATAGTTATTGCTAGTTGCATATATTTGGTTAAAATGAAGGTACAATCTATTCCCTATAATTTTTTTATACATCCATAGTATACTTGCTCGGGATAATTGGATAGGACGGCACAGTATTAAGAAAGAGAAATAACTTTTTATACTATCCAATCTTGTCAATCATTGTACACTAAACGTTATATTGTCTAACCTTAACTATGCCCCTGTTTGGCCCTCATTATTTGGCATTTTTGATAGTTGAAATTTTTTGGAATAGTGATTGATGGGAGAATGTGTGGTGGAAAAGTAATGAAAAGTTTTAGATTTGTGTGTAATATTATTTTATTTGATGAATGCGTGGTTGTAATGAAGAGAGGAAAATTTAATGTAATGTAATTTAATTTAATGGGGGCCAAACAATGGTTATATAATAGAGCCTATGATTATTGGTCTAAGGTCCTTAGACCAAAGGCTCACACACGAGGACCTAGAGCCAACAAATGCTTGTCATCTAATAGCTTCTCTAGTCTCTATGGTCAATTCTATTCGCTCTTTCTATTACAAAGTGAAAAGTTACTTCTAAACTAAAAATCTGTTTTTGGGCTTGTGTGGATAATTTTTCGAAAGTATTTTATTTGATTGAAAGAATTATTAGAATAAGCTTGTTCAAGATGATTCCTTCGTAAAAATTATTTTACGAAAAGTGGAAGAAAAGTTATCCCAAACATACATTAAGCCCCCGTTTGGCTCCCATTAAATTAAATTTTTTTCTCTTCTTATTAACTACACATTTTTTAATAAAATAATATTTCATGGAAATTCAAAATTTTTCTTTCTATTTTAATTGCACATTGAGAGAAATATAGAGTATCCTTGCAGGTGCATTTATGCAATCCAACTTTATTGTTGTCGGTTCCTGCGTTCTATGTTGTGAACATCAGATAAACTTTCTTGTCATCCATCTTAAATCTGCACGGATTGGACATCTTTAATTATCTTTTTCGTGTCAACTACCTCCTGCCTAGACACAACCTCTTGTATAACTTAGGCTGTATGTGTCTTCCATTATTGGAAGAAAAATAGAGTAATGAACACATTTTTTGGAGAATGTGTGATTAAAAAGTAAAGTAATTTTATTTGTTTGTGTATAGAATATTTTATTGAGTGAATGTGTGGTGGAAAATCTTACTGTAGCAAACAATTTTTTGGAATAATGGTAGACAAACGATGGCTTATTAATATCAACTTTTTTGCTAATTTTGAGCTGACGATACTCTGTATTGAGTCCTTGTCATCTCACTTATCGTTCTTCTTCATGCAATGATCCAGGTCATGACGACTTGAAGTTATCCTGATTCCTAAGCGTCAAGACGAAGTGAATCGAGCCAAAGCCACCCCCATAAACTATGTTTGTTAACCAAATTTGTTAGGTTTTACAATACTTTCTATCATGTTAATTAGATTTTAGTCTCAATAAAAAACACACAAACAAATAGCTGTGGGCTAGTTCGAATTTTGCAGTCTATTTCAAAGTGTAATAAAATTTAAGTTTAGATTGAATAAGAGAGATGCAACTCGATCTGACCTACTGAGTAATGCTTTCAATTATGTCATATTAAATGCTGTATTAATTGCACAACTACTCACCTTTGCCAGTCAACCGAAATTCTCACTGTGCAATAATACCCCATTATGACATCCCAACTGTGCTAGATTATTCCTAAAAATGAAAAGGGCCAAAAAAAAACAAAAAAATAAAAAATAAAATAATTAACACATTACGTCCATACCTTTCATTGTTATTGTGGAAAATATCTTTACCTTTCATTTTTTGGCATTTTTACCATTATTTTCACATTTCATTGTTCAAAATGTTATTTTCATCCATTTTCTCAATTAAAAATTGTGAAATGACGAAAATACCCTTTCCTTTAAATAAAATAAAAGAAAAAAAGAAAAAAATTTAATTGCAATCATAATCCCAATTTTTTTTTAAAAGCCCAAATGAATTCCAAATAAATCATTAAAAGAGTAATTAGTACATAATATCCCTATCTTTCACTTTTATTGCGAAAAAGTCTCTACCTTTCATTTTTTTGGCATTTTCACCCTTAATTACACATTTGATTGTGCAAACCATCATTTTCATCCAATTTCTCAATAAAAAACTTTGAAATAACCATCATACCTAAATAAAAATATATATTTTTAATTTCTAATTCTTTAATAATTTATTTGGGATACATTTGCACTTTGTAATTTATTAAATAAATTTAGTTGGGACTCGTTTGCATTTTTAAAAAAAATTGGGATTTAGTTGCAATTAATTCTTTAACTTTTTTTATTTAAATAATAGGGTATATTCGTCATCCCAATATTTTTTATCGAGAAATTAGATGAAAGTGGATATAAATGATAGTTTGTGCTATCAAATTATAATTAAGGAAAAAAATGCCAAAAAATAAAAGGTAGTGACGTTTTTCACAATAATAGTGAGAGGTAAAGACATTATGTACTAATTGCCCTTTTAATAATTTATTTGAGACTCATTTGAGCTTTTAAAAAAAGTTGGGACTATGTTTGCAATTAATTTTTTCATTTTCCTTTTGTTTTATTTAAAGGGAAGTGTATTTTCATCATTTAACAATTTTTAATTGTGAAAATGGATAAAAAAGACCTTTTGCATAATGAAAGGTGAAAATGCCAAAAAAGAAAAGATAGGGACGTTTTCTACAATAACGGTGAAATGTGAAGACGTTAAATCTTGCCCAAAATAAACGCATGCGACTCTTCTGTAACGGATTGAATATTAGATGAATGATTATTATGAAAAAGCTAGTTTAATCGATGTTCGAAAAATTAATTTATAAAAGAGTTTTCTCTTCTGAAAGAGTTCTTAAAAAAATTCATATTGGACCAATTTTTTATGAAAGCTTTTCTAAATAGAAGAAATACTTTTATAAAATTGATTAAACGGGTGAAAAAGCAACTTTTGAATCTCCATAATTCATTTTGACTCTTCAAAAGTTATGCCAAATGACCCCCAAGACTCGACGAAATACTTTTGACCTTATTGTCACTATAAATATTGTAATTATATTAGAACTTTGATCACCAAATGAATCAGATTTACTTGTGAGAAGCAAATTGAGACAGACTCAGAGACTTAATCCAAATGGTAGGTGGCAAATCCCCATCACCCACCTCACCCCACCCCCTACCCAAATCAGCTTATAGTAAGTATATATGAAAGTATTCCAAGCCTTGGCATTTTGTCTTTCCCTAACTAGCATCACTCCTCTCTTTAAGTAAACAAAACCCTAAAATCAGCTAAGTTACAAACAATGGTATCTTCCATGGCTGAAGGTTTGATCTACGACGTAAAACTATCCTCCGTCGGGCCCGGAAATGCGATCGAGCCCGACATGGTTCACGAGCCGAGTGACATGGACTTGGCTATGAAGCTTCACTACTTGAAAGGAATCTACTATTTTGGCAAGCAGGCATTTGAGGGCTTGACCACCATCAACATAAAGGAGCCCTTGTTCATATTGTTGAACGATTTCCCAGTTATCTGTGGACGGTTTCGTAGAGCCGAGTCGGGCCGGCCTTACATCAAGTGCAATGACTGTGGGGTGAGATTCCTTGAAGCAAAGTGTGAGAAAACAATGGATGAATGGTTGGAGATGATCAAGGAGAATGCTTCCCTTGAGAAGTATCTGACTCCAAACCAGATCATTGGTCCCGAAATAGCATTTTCTCCTACTGTTCTCTTACAGGTATGAGTTGACAAGATTTTAGCTCCATTTTCGTTCTTAAAGCATGTTAATTTGATACATAGAATAATCAAATTCTTATGAGAACTGGATGGACTAAGGGCCGTTAAACACGACTTTTGAAAAGCTAAAAGGATAAAAAATACTCAAAAGTTGGTTTTGAATCAGTCTGAATAATTTTATGAAAGTGCTTCTGATAATTAGAAGAATACATTTTCAGAATAGAAAACTCTTTTAAATTCAGTTTTCTAACAAAAAATAAGAGAGCTTCCTCCAAAAGTTCTTCTACATGAAACAAAAGTAAAATTCATGCAAACAAAACCGTAAGTGCCAATGGTAATTCTAGAAAAGAAATCATAGTCACAACTCACACGTACAACAATGGTACCGAATTGCACCAAAATTGACTTGTTCAGGGTTTGTCCAATTTGGTTCTTCATGTACTCTAGAATCGAGAATTGTAAGAATTCGAAGCATGCTTAAACAAGAATTTCGCGTCAAGATCTTTACTTAAAATGATGGATTTCAAGATTTTTTTGAATGGTTGAATCACCTTTCATTCCAAACTTCAAAACATGTATTTTCTTATTCTCCAATGGTCTCAATCTCGTTCACCATGAAAGGGAATATTATCCACAATTTAAAAGTGTGTTTGATGGATATTATTGAGGAAATAATGTATTTTAAATAGTGATATGATGATAAATATGTGGTTAAAAAGTAAGGAAAAGTTATTGATGTGATAGAAAATATTATTTTATTGAAAAATGTATGATTGAAAATGAGTTTTGAAAGAATGCGTGTCAAACAGAGGTTAAGTGCCAATTTTTGTGAGTTTTAATGCCATATATATGATTCTAGGCACTTTTCAATTTATGCGTATTTTTCCATATGAATTTCACACATTTTTTTGTCGCATTTTCTTTCTCATCATGCAATTCTAAGTGACGAGAATTATTTCAAAATTATGGAAGTGGATGGAAGTTGAGGAAAGTTATGAGTTTGAATTCTATTCAAACAACTCATGGCAATTCACTTTAATAATCTATGGGTCTGGTCACCCTACATGAACGACCCACAACCCGTATCTTCGAACAGAAACAATATCATTTAGTTCTCGATTGTGAGAACCAAAGCGAATTAGCTCAATCTGATTCTGATTCGGTTCATGTGGTACTGGATAAAAAACAGTCCATCCCTAGATGTATATTATAGCTATTTAGGTAAACATTTACCTCTAAAAGATGAAAAATAAATTGAGTGTGTGTTTGTCTCCCATTATTGTAGAAGAAATTGAAGAATGAATAGTATTATTTTGGAGAATATGTGGTTGAAATTTAAAGTAACTTTATTAGTCTGTGTATAAAATATTTTATTGAGTGAATGTGTGACAAACATTGTTTTGGAATAATGGGAGACAAACAGGGCCTGGATTTTATTAGTCGATAAATATTGATTTGTGTTTCTTATATATTTGAAGTTTTACTCATTGTTGCAATTATTTGCTGGACCATCAATCCATCCCTAGATGTATATTATAGTAATTTAAGTAAACATTTACCTCTAAAAGAAGAAAAGTAAATTGAATTTCATTAGTTGATAAAGATTGATTTGTTTTTACTTTTTATTTTAAGTTTTACTCATTGTTGCAATTATTTGCTGGACCAATTGATGGAATTTCAGTCTTATACTTCTTAATTAAATTATCATAAGTCATAAATATTTTAATATATTTATATATTAAATTATGTACAGTACACTAAATTCAAATGTGGAGGAATGTCTGTGGGCCTGAGCTGGGCCCATGTTCTTGGAGATGCATTCTCAGCTGCAGAATTCTTGAACCTATTGGGAAAGGTGGTAGCAGGTGAAAAGCCCAATAGGCCCATTAAAACAAAGTCCACAAATTCTGAAAGCCTATTAAAGGATATGGAAGATCCCCTTTCAGTCAAACGGGCCGGCCCGGTTGGAGACAATTGGATAACAGTCAATAACAGTAAAATGGAAGCATTTTCCTTCAGTGTTAATGCCGCACAATTGAGCCATCTGCAGTCAAAAATAAGTAGCAATGCCACTGATTTTTCTCCATTTGAAGCTATTTCTGCTGTCATTTGGCAATGTGTAGCGAAAATTCGCGAATCGGAACCAAAAGTTGTGACAATATGCAAGATGATGGAACAAAACAAGGCAGATGGGAATAATCAACTTATGAGTGTTGTTAAAGCTGCTTATCCCATTGTGGAAGCCAACCCTAGTGAGCTAGCAGAGTTGATGAAAAATTCAGCATTCGACCAACGAGAAAAGATCGAAAATGCAATCAAGAAAGACAACGGAGTCTCTGATTTAATTGTTTATGGCGCGAATTTAACTTTTGTGAATCTTGAAGAAGCAAAGTTTTACGAATTTGATTACCGTGGAGAGAAGCCAGTTTACGTTAGCTATCGAGTCGATGGTGTTGGTGATGAAGGGGCTGTTTTTGTGCTTCCGGGGCCACCGAAGAATGGAGGAATGACTGTTATGGCAATTTTGCCAGAGAATGAAGTGACTGAGCTTAAATTAGAGTTGAAAACAGAGTGGTTTATGGATTAAACAAAAAAATGTTTTTAATAAATCCATTGGCCTTTGAGTGTGGGGATGTGAGTGTGGTTTTAGTTTTACATGCAGTTTTCTTTATATTTTGGCTCATTTGTAAAATATGAATAAATTAAACCATGAGCCCTTGTTTTGCTGAAATTTCCTTGTATCTATGTTTCATTATTAGTCTCTCACATCAAGTTGTTTGTGATGTATAATGTATGTAAAGTTTCTTGTTTTTTTTTTTTTCCGATCATGTAAATAATTATATTGATCAAAATTGTGGATACAACTGTTTTGAGTATACCTAGGTATACAACGTAAGACATTACAATGCTCCAAAACAAGTGACGAACATGAATCAAAACATTACAAACTTGGCTAATCTAGTACACGAAGTGCCAAACTATTAATGGTAACAAATCCTCTTAGAAGAGATGAAAATGAATCTGTCAATAGTATTTCAAAACCATGCTGGCCGAACATCCCAGCTTCAAGGACGTTAAGATCTTCAAATATAACCTTCGAAAACTGGAAGGATTTAATGAATTCTGCAAGCTGGATTCCAAATTGCCAATTGGTTAAGGTCATAATCAATACTTTCCTTTGAGTTAATCATGAAGACTGCCTTCAAATTTATGCCTTCAAAATCTGCTTACCCAGTTGGATGGTGCTTGGGCAGTATTAAGTGAAGAAGAATCTTCGATTTACTTACCTTGTGAATAGGTAGCACACTTTGCCTTTTTGGCATCAATAGCAAAAGCCTTATCACTGCTGAAAAACCATGCGAACTTGGTTCAGCTAAAGGACTCAAACTGAAAATCAAACCAAAACTGAGAATCCCAAGTGAGCAGGTTGTAGGTTATGCTGAGAACCTAAGATTCAATCAGGGGAGGACGCAGACCTTAAAAGTTAGTCAATTGTAGCAAACAGACATATCGAATGGTCCAAACAAACATTGAAAATCGTTAAATATGCGTCAAACATGTATCTTAAAAATAGGCGTCCAACTCTTCAAATGGGCTACTTTGACGTGTCGTAACATTTGCTATGATTTTTAATAGAACAAAAAACTAGTAGCTTTTATATCACCATATATATATATTGTTGGGGCAAACAAGTCCCACATCGGTTGTGGGAAGAAAATAAATTCACCATATAACTCAAGTGGGCTACTCCACCCATTACCAATTGGTTTTGGGATGGAACCTCACTTGGGCCTGGTGGAGTGGGCTTGGGCCCTGAATAATTGCTCTCAATAATTCCCTACAACTGGTATCAAAGCTCTCGATCTTTTGTGGTAACCCCTGATCTGAAACCCTTGGTTCCTTTTTCTGGAAATTTGGTTGCTGATTCTTTACAGATATATACAGAGGAGACTAAATCTTCATTTTTCTGGAAAGTAAAATAGTCTAGTTTTCACTATTTTACACTATTGCACTGAGACGCGTATGGTAACGAATTTCTGAACCGTAAACTCTGTTTGTTATTTTTCGAAACTTCAGTTGACTGTGTCATCTTGGTTGGAACCCACTTTGAGCTTCCTTTGTCTAGGGTTTCATAAGAGAACCCTGAAATCTGAGGGGACAAGGTTTAACGGCTCCTTCAAGATTATCATTCATCTGTATTTTTGTTAGTTGATAAAATTCTGAGAAGTGATTTTATGTTTGCATAATTTTTGCTCTCTCTGTTTACGTGCATAAGTGTTACTTGTGAAGATTAATTGTTTTTAACACTGGGTGTGTACTCTGCTATAATCTCATTCAATCTTGATACCTGTTTATCACTGTTTTTGCATCATACTGTTAATTCATATGGCAAGTTCTAAGATTGACATAGAAATTTGGAATGCTAAGGGTGATTTTAGTCTCTGGAGTAAAAAAATGAAAGCCTTATTGTTACAACAAAAATGTGCTAGAGCCTTAGATGAGACTTGGGGTGATGAAATCACTGAAATTAAAAGGATTGAACAAACTGAAATTGCTTGGAGTACTATATTCCTGCATTTATCAGACAATGTGATTAGAGAAGTAGGTGATACTACCACTGCAGCTGAAATTTGGACTCAACTTGAATCTTTATACAAAACCAAAACTCTTCCAAATAATTGTTACTTGTGGAAACAGTTTTTCAGTTTCAAATTTGATTCTAATTGTGACCTTGAAACCAATTTGGACAGATTTAATAGACTGACCCAAGATCTCACCAACAGTGGTGAGATCTTATCTGACAATCAGAAATCTGTAGTCTTATTATCATCTTTGCCTGAAAAATATAAGGAACTTAAAAATGCTCTTGAATATGGTAGAACCTCTATCACTGTTAATGATGTTGTGTCCTCTTTGAGGAATAAAGAACTTGAGTTCAAAACTGATTCAAAAACCTCTAATATTGGAGTTGGGTACAACATAAAGGGCAATTATTCTTTCAAAAGGAACAACAACCAATTTCAAAATAAAAATTCTTGGAAATCAAAAGAGCACACTGGAAATTTTTCAAAAGGCAAACCTAAGTTCAATAAATTTGACAATAAGGCTAAAGGAAAAACATGTTATTTCTGTGGAAAAATGGGTCACTATATAAAAGACTGTCACAAGAGAATTAATGAACTGAAAAACTGCAACAAAGTGGATGGTGAAGCTGCAGTAGCCTATGAGGAAGCTGCAGCCACCAATGGGCAAGTCTATGTGACCTGTCATTCATCTGTTGAAGATGAATGGATTCTAGATTCAGGATGTACTTTTCATATGACACCTTCTAAGAAGTACTTCACTGAATTCTTAGAAACCAAAGGAGGACAAGTAATAATGGGAAATGATTTTTCTTGCAAGATTAAGGGAATTGGAAAAACTGTTTTGAAACTTGAAAATGGGAATGATCTGATTCTGAATAAGATCAGATACATCCCTAGCTTAAAGAGAAACTTAATCTCTTTAGGCACACTTGATGATGAAGGTTTTAACACAATCATAAATAAAGGTACCTTGATTCTTCAAAAAAATGCTACTGAAATTGCTCAAGTTTCTAAATCAAATGGGATTTACACTCTGAAAGTTTTACAACAAACAAATCAGTCCATTGCAGCTGCAGTCACATTGTCTGATAAATCTGAACTTTGGCATAAAAGGTTAGGCCACATAAGTGATAAGAATCTACATATTCTTAAGAAACAAGGACACTTAGGAAATGAAAGAGTTGAGAAGGTATCTTTTTGTGAACATTGCATATATGGTAAGCAAAAGAAATTACCTTTTTCTGCTGGCACTCATAAGTCTAAATGCATACTTGATTATCTTCATGCTGATCTTTGGGGACCAGCTTCTGTGAATACCTATTCTGGTTTTAAATACTATCTTCTGATTATTGATGATTTGTCTAGGAAAAGTTGGGTCCTACTTTTGAAAAATAAATCTGATACTTTTCAAAATTTTGTTACTTGGAAAACTCTTGTTGAAAATCAAGTAAATAAGAAGGTTAGAGCCCTTAGAACTGACAATGGCCTTGAATTTTGCAATGAGGAGTTTGATAATTTTTGCAAAGACAATGGGATCCTTAGGCATAGAACTGTAGTCTATACCCCACAGCAAAATGGATTGGCTGAGAGGATGAATAGGACTCTGTTAGAAAGAGTTAGGTGTATGTTAACCAGTTCAGGTCTTCCAAAATTATTCTGGGGAGAAGCAGTCAAAACTGCCTCATATCTCATAAATAAATGCCCCACCAAATCCCTGAACTATGAAACCCCTGACCAAGTTTGGAATGGACAGCCTGCTGATTATTCTAAACTCAAAACATTTGGCTGTTCTGCCTATGTTCACCAAAATGAAGGAAAACTGGAGCCTAGGTCCACTAAAGGTGTTTTCTTGGGATATGGTGAAGGTGTCAAAGGGTATAGGGTCTGGCTAAAGGATCAGGGAGGTTATAGAGTCACAATAAGTAGAAATGTTGTCTTTAATGAACTAGACATGCCCTGCCTAAAAGAAAAAGAGTCCACTCCAACTGAAACTGATCAGAATACAAGCATTACTCAAACTGAATATTCTCCAGCTGTTTTTGACACTGGAAATGAAGATCAGTTCCAGGTGGAGAATGAACCTGAGCAGGATACTCCTGAACCCATTTTTGAAACTGAGCCTGACCACCATATTAACCCTTTAGAAGATTACCTTTTGGCCAGAGATAGAACTAGAAGGGAGATTAGACCACCTGTCAGATACAGTGAACCTGATTTTATCACTGCCCTTAGTATTATAGGATCTTTAGAAGGTGATCCTGCCTCTTATGAAGAGGCTGTTGAAGGAAAAAATGCTAACATGTGGCTTGAAGCTATGAAGGATGAGATGTTGTCTCTAGAAAAGAATAACACCTGGGTATTAGTCAATAAGCCAAAAGGGATTAAAGTCATTGACTGCAAATGGATTTTTAAGGTCAAAGAAGGAGACCCTAAGGATGGTAATATTAGATTCAAGGCTAGGCTGGTTGCTAAGGGGTTTAACCAAAGGGAGGGAATTGACTACAATGAAATTTTTTCTCCGGTAGTCAAATATACCTCTATCAGAATTCTGTTATCTATTGTCTCTCAATATGATTTTGAATTGGAACAATTAGATGTGAAAACTGCTTTCCTGCATGGTAATCTGGATGAAAAAATTTTTATGAGTCAACCAAAAGGTTTTGAAAAAAGGGGTAAAGAAAATTGGGTGTGTTTTCTGAAAAAGTCCCTCTATGGTTTAAAACAAGCACCTCGACAATGGTATATTAGATTTGATACATTTATCAAAAGCCTTGATTTTAATAGAAGTGAATATGACCCATGTTTTTACTATAAAGGAAAAGGAGGTCCAAATTCTTATTATCTTTTACTTTATGTGGATGACATGTTGTTGGCTGGTTATGATGTTGATGAAATTAATAACATCAAGCAAAAACTTAAACAAGAATTTGAGATGAAGGATCTAGGTCCTGCTAAGAGGATTTTAGGTATGGAAATTAGAAGGAATAGATCTGATCAAACGATTTTTCTCACACAACATGCTTATATTCTAAAGATGTTAAGTAGATTTTCTATGAATGATGCTAAAGGTGTTAGTTTACCACTTGCCAGTCATTTTAAATTTTCTGTGGAACAATGTCCTAAATCTGAATCTGAGAAACGTAGAATGGATAAAATTCCCTATGCAAATGCTATTGGTTCTGTTATGTATGTCATGGTCTGCACAAGACCTGATCTTGCTTTTGCCATTAGCACTTTGAGTAGATATATGAGCAATCCTGGTGAATATCATTGGGAAGCATTAAAATGGCTGCTGAAATATTTAAAAGGAACTTCTGAACTGGGTTTAATGTTCTGCAAAGGTGAAACTGAAATTCAACTTAAAGGTTTTGTTGATTCTGATTTTGCTGGTAATTGTGACAATAGAAAATCTACCTCTGCATATGTTTTTACTGTAAACAATACTTGTGTTAGCTGGAAATCCCAGCTGCAAAAAATTGTAGCTCTTTCCACGACAGAGGCTGAATACATTGCAGCCTCAGATGCAGTAAAGGAAGGTATTTGGTTAAAAAATTTATTGGATGAAATTGGCTTCTCTGGTAATGATGCTACTGTTTTCTCTGATAGTCAATCTGCAATACATCTTAGTAGAAATCCAGTCTTTCATGATAGGACTAAACATATTGATGTTAAATTTCATTTCATAAGAGATATTATTGAAAAGGAAATTATTAAAATTGAGAAGATTTCTACTAAGTGTAATCCAGCAGATATGGGAACCAAAATACTTCCTTTATATAAATTTAGGGATTGTTTAAATCTCCTAAATATTGTTACTAACTAACTGTTTTGCAGGTACAAGAGCAAATGAAACCGGAGGAGGAGTTAACCTCTAATCCACATGAAACCCGAAGATGTCAAGCAAGGTGGAGATTGTTATATTTGTGCTTAACATCTATTGTGTTTGGCCCAATGATGAAGCCCAATTATCACAGCCTGTTACTATTTGAGTGTGACCCGGTTTTGGCCCACATGTGTAATCTCGTGTTTTTCTGGCTATGCGATTTTGGTTGTTAAAGCAAAGGGCTGAGATTGTGACACGTGTCTGTGGCTGGACCGCTGGATGCATGGTGACTATACATATTCGAGACTCTTCCATTGTTTAGAGATCAGTCCAATATTCTAGGGTTTTCTCTAGACGGTTCCTCTCTCTTGTATTGTTCTCTCTGTCGATGAAAACCTTTGGTTTTCATCTTGTAATCTTGAGGTTAGATAATCTTGGTGATATCTTTGTATAGATTACTATTCTGGTGTGATTCTTGTGTTCTTGGTGAACACAGATCTGGGTTACTGTGTTGTAATCTGAAAAGGGGAGAAATAGTGAGATTTGGGCTGAGGGTTTGAGTCGAGTGATTTTTGGGTCTCTGATCTGTACTTGATAACTTTGTTGGATTCTAGTGGATTAGAGCGATAATCACTCCGGTGTATGCTCAACGGGTGAGTAGCCTTTACTGGTGAACATCCGGGCCTTAGGGCGAAAATTCTTTGTGTTGTGGTTTTGTTTTTGGTTATTCTTTTGTGATTTGGGACTGTAAATACCAACACTGGTATCAGAGCCCAGGTTGTGTGGCTAGATAAATCGAGGTGGTAAAAAATTCTCATGAGATGGTTGATCCATGGTAACGTAGTGGGTGCAGGCTACGATGGATTATCTCGATGAGTGGTGATTTATCTCGTGAACCTTGTTTGAGGGAGGGATTGTTGGGGCAAACAAGTCCCACATCGGTTGTGGGAAGAAAATAAATCCACCATATAACTCAAGTGGGCTACTCCACCCATTACCAATTGGTTTTGGGATGGAACCTCACTTGAGCCTGGTGGAGTGGGCTTGGGCCCTGAGTAATTGCTCTCAATAATTCCCTACATATATAATAATGTGATTTCATTTAAAGTCTCTCACACATTTATCAGCGATCTCATTGAGATTTCAATATGCAATAAAAAAGACATATAAGCTAAGTCACAAGTGGCATCTTCCATGGCAGAAGGCTTGATCTACGACATAAAAACTTGATCAAGCCCGACATGTTTCACGAGCCGAGTAACATGGACATGGCAATGAAGCTTCACTACTTGAAAGGAATCTACTATTTTGGCAAGCAGGCATTTGAGGGCTTGGCCACCTTCAAGATAAAGGAGCCCTTGTTCATATTGCTAAACTATTTCCCAGTTATCTGTGGACGGTTTCGTAGAGCCGAGTCGGGCCGGCCATACACCAAATGCACTCGACTGGGAGAACCAAAAGTGGCTCTGGATAAGAAGTTTCAATTAGGTCAACATTTACCTCCAAAAGAAGAAAAATAACTTGAATTATATTAGTTGATAAAGACTAATTTGTTTTTCTTGTACATTTTAAATTTTATTCATTGTTGCAATTGTTTGCTGGACCAATTGATGGAAGTTCAGTTTTATACTTCTTAATTTAATTATCATAAAATTTAATATATGATATATTAATTATGTACAGTACACTAAATTCAAAGGGAACAATACATAAATAAGGTTTTTAGTGAACAATATTTCAAAATTAAGGATGGAGGCTTTAAATTTCAAAAATTAGGTTTTCATTAAAATTTATTTATGATTTAATTAATTAATTATGTATTTTATTAATAAATATATAAAGGTCACATATCGATGAAATTTGGTCACAATTCAAAAATTTTAAGATCACAATTCAAAAATTTTATAAGTCACGGTTCGTTCATCGGTCACAAATTAAAAACTTAAAAGTCACAATTTGTTTATTGGTCACAAATCACAAAATTTATAAGTCACACAACTTATTTTATAATCACAAACATCAAATTATATGTTACATATTACTTTTATTGGTCACAAATTAATAAATTTGTAGGTCACATTGTATTTATTGGTCACAATTTATTCTTTATTGATCACACTCCAATTAATGTATTGATCACAATCAACAAATCATTTGTGACCATCACCAACACAACACCACCGTCATCTCCGCCACCACCAACACAACCACAGAAACCACCAAACAGTGGCTCCTATAAGGGCAACAAAAAGTAACGATGTCATATTGAAAACAGAATTCTTAGCTACACATGTTTCTGCAAGTGCTTCTGGAGCTGTAGTAAACATTAATGCATTTGCCATGATAAGTGTGGTTGCAGGGAATCTGGAAAACAAGTACCACACATCATCGCACCGCCCCTACCAGCACGATCTCCACAAATCACACAAATCCACCATATCTGCCATATTGAAAACCAAAACACACATCTCAACTCAGATCTAAACAACTATTTGTCCAAAACCACCATCCAAACTCGAAAAAAAAAAAAATGAAAAATTAGGGTTTGAAATTTGATTTAAATAAAAATTAATTTAAAAATTATTAATTAACCTGATTTATGTATTAATAAAGTTGAATTCGGATTTGTAAAAATGGTATTTTAAAAAGCTGAGTGACTGTAATTTCCTCAAATGGTTCAATTGTGGAGGAATGTCTATAGGCCTGAGCCCATGTTCTTGGAGATGCATTCTCAGCTGCAGAATTCTTGAACCTGTTGGGAAAGGTGGTAGCAGGTGAAAAGCCTAACAGGCCCATTAACTTGGCTCATTTGAAAACGAAGTCCACAAATTCTGAAAGCCCATTAAAGAATATGGAAGATCCACTTTCCCTCAAAAGGGTGGGCCCGGTTGGAGATAATTGGATACCAGTCGATAACTGTAAAATGGAAGCATTTTCATTTAGTGTTAATGCCACACAATTGAGCCATTTGCAGTCAAAAATAAGTAGCAATGGCGCTGATTTTTCTCCATTTGAGGCTCTTTCTGCTGTCATTTGGCAATGCATAGCAAACATTCGATGCGAATCGGCACCAAACGTTGTGACAATATGCAAGATGATGGAACCAAACAAGGCATATGGGAATAATCAACTTATTAGTGTTGTTAAAGCTGCTTATCCCATTTTAGAAGCCAACCCTAGTGAGCTAGCAGCATTGATGAAAAATGCGGCACTTGATCAAATAGAAAAGATCGAAAATGCAATCGAGAAAGACAATGGAGTGTCTGATTTAATTGTTTATGACGCGAATTTAACTTTCGCGAATCTTGAAGAAGCAAAGTTTTATGAATTTGATTACCGCGGAGAGAAGCCAGTTTATGTTAGTTATCGAGTTGATGGTGTTGGTGATGAAGGGGCTATCTTGGTGTTCCCTGGGCCACCGAAGAATGGAGGAAGGACTGTTATGGCAATTTTGCCAGAGAATGAGGTGACCGAGCTTAAATCAGAGATGAAAAAGTGGTTTATGGATTAACAAAAAATAATTGCTTTCAATTACTCCATCAGCTTTTGAATGTGGGGATGTGAATGTGGTTTTTCATTCATTTTTCTTTAAAGCAGTGGCATGTTTTGTCTCATTTGTAAAATATGAATAAATTAAACTACGAGTCCTTGTTTTTCTGGAATTTCCTCATATCTATGTTTCATTGTTAGTCTTCCGCACCTCAAGTTGTATGTATGTAATGTGTATACAAGCGTTTAGTTCTTATCGATTTGTTCTTTCTTTTGAAACTCGACTATGTGATCTAACAATCTCGTGTAACATCGATTCAAAATTGACATATACTCTTTTTGTTATTGGTCTTGTAGTTTGATGGTAGAGATTTTGATCGACAAGAGGGTATTGATTTATGGGTATAAAAATGTGTCTGGTTGCTCGATATGCTTTGGGTTCAGGCATGGCATGGTTCAGTATGGGCGGTGTCATGGGCTGGTCGACCCGAGTTCCATCTACTTTGATGCAAATATAAGGAGTGGGCATTCCACACGATGTAGATGGTTGATGCCAATAGAAAATGACCATTAACAAGAATCAACCAAGTGTGTGGCTAACTGTTCATAGCTAATCTTTGGTCTAAAACTCATGGGAAAAGTAGGGTTATAATTGAAAGGAGAAATCCAGAAAGTTTAGATATTGGCTCTACTTTTGAATAATCACTTTCTACCCACCATCTTTCATCATGAACACTAGACAAAAGCTAAAACATACAAAGTTCTCCGTAACTTCAATGAATTCGTCATGTTACGTGAGTTGGCCCATGGCATCGCTCTCAAGCTTTCGGCTGTGGAATGATGAGTATGATGTCGCTATCGTACATTCATTCTTAAAATAACATTTACGCTTAGTGAAAGTTACGATCGTTTGTCTTGGAAGGGTTGAGGTCGACGTTTGTGATAGGTGCTGTCTAGATGACTATCAGCATCCACATGTTTGTCTTCAAAAATTTAAGCCATTCATGTAAAAGATTTTAGTTAACCCTCAAATACTGGATAGAGACTAGGATTTGAAGCTAAGGTTCATTGTAGTGAGCTTTATTTATCACCTTGAAATTGCAATTTCTAAAAAATTCGTTCTAATTAAGTCCATGTTTGACAATCATTATTTTCAAACTTTTTTTTATGTACTCATTTTCAATCATATATTCATATAATAAAATATTCTATATATAAACCCAAAATTTTTTCCTACTTTTTAACCTCACGTTCTCCTAAAAATCACTATTCAAAACATTATGTTTTGAAAATAGTGGCCACCAAATAGGGACTAAAAAGGCAATGACACCATAGGAAGGGAGAATTAGGCCCTGTTTGATAAGAAGAATTTTTCATGGAAATTGGAAATTATTTTCCATTTTCCACCTTTTAGATTGTTAGATAGGAAAAAATTTTTAGGCAATTAGTTTTCCAACTTATACCTCACGTGACCCCATTTTCCACATTTTCCTTGAAATGGCTTTCCCATGGGTTTGGTGGTTTTTGTTTTTCTAGGAATTTTTTTTTTGGAAACAAATTATATCATTTTAATGAACAATTTTCATGGAAAATAAAGTCAAACGAAAGTCAAAAGATCCAAAATTTCAATATTTTTCAGGTGAAAAATTATACCAATCAAATATAATCAATAGACAATTTCTAGGCAATTCAATTATCTGGAATTCATTTTCTTTCCACTCAAATTTCATTCTTGCAATCAAACGGACTCTTATTGTTTTATAATATATATCAACTAGTAAGGATAACATATTTTCTGCTACTAGCTAATACTAGGGTTGAGGTATAGCACCATATCTTATACACGAATTAAGAGTGTGAAATAGATTCCCCTAACACTAGGTCCGACTAACTTTTCATGTTCACACCTTTTTCTTTCTCAGAATTTGTCGTAAGCTGCTATTGTTACATAAGAAAAAGTTCAGTTCAGTTCTCATCTTCCCTTGCCAAAGGAACGAAGGCTAGCTTACTGCCCTCTTTGAGTTAAAGAATGAATTGGCATCATCACCCCCACTTGGTTTTCATGCCTAACTTCTTGTTATTTATACCCTGGTTTCTAACAGTTTACTTCGCTAGCTTCGGTCCCCTACAATCTGTGGGAGATATTACACCGATNTAAATAAACTCTAAATTGTTCAACTAATAAGATTTAATAAGAAAAAAATTATTAATTTGTTTAGAAAAAATAAAAGAAATTAATTTATCCAATATAAAAAAAAAGTTCGGTTCTTATTCGGTTCTTCGGTTCTTGGTCGAGAACCGAGAACCGAACCAAACCATTCGGTTCTCAATTCGGATACCCGTTCGGGTATTTCATTTTAAAAAACCCGCTCGATTCGGTTCGGTTCCGGTTCGGTTCGGTTCGGTTCGGACATTTTGCCCAGCCCTAGTCGATAACTGTAAAATGGAAGCATTTTCCTTTAGTGTTAATGCCACACAATTGAGCCATTTGCAGTAAAAAATAAGTAGAAATGGCACTGATTTTTCTCCATTCGAGGCTCTTTCTGCTGTCATTTGGCAATGCATAGCAAACATTCGATGCGAATCGGCACCAAACGTTATGACAATATGCAAGATGATGGAACCAAACAAGGCATATGGGAATAATCAACTTATTAGTGTTGTTAAAGCTGCTTATCCCATTTTAGAAGCCAACCCTAGTGAGCTAGCAGCATTGATGAAAAATGCAGCACTTGATCAAATAGAAAAGATCGAAAATGCAATCGAGAAAGACAATGGAGTGTCTGATTTAATTGTTTATGGTGCGAATTTAACTTTCGCGAATCTTGAAGAAGCAAAGTTTTATGAATTTGATTACCGCGAAGAGAAACCAGTTTACGTTCGTTATCGAGTTGATGGTGTTGGTGATGAAGGGGATATCTTGGTGTTCCCTGGGCCGCTGAAGAATGGAAGGACTATTATGGCAATTTTGCCAGAGAATGAGGTGATCGACGTTAAATCAGAGATGAAAAAGTGGTTTATGGATTATCAAAAAATAATTGCTTTTAATTACTCCATCAGCTTTTGAATGTGGGGATGTGAATAGGGCTGTCCGTTGGTCGGTTCGGTTCTGAAGAGACCAGAACCGACCAAAAACTTTCGAGTCTTTAATAAATGGATCTGTCGGATCCAAATATAATTATGGAACCGTTCGGGTTCGGTTCGGTTCGGGACGGTTCGGTTCGGTTCCTTTCGGTTCCGTACCATAATTAAATTTTTTAATATTTTCAACAACACTACATAAATACAACTAATGACATTTCATTTGTAACTTTTACAAATTAACGTAACCTAATTCAAAAACATATAAATAACTAGCCATCTAATAAGATTAATTCAATGCATACAAATACCAAAAAGTAAATATTAATATTACAGCAAAACTACATAAAGTATATTCATTTGTTTCAAATTAAAATGAGCTAATGAATTTTAAAAATGATTTGAGCTTTAAAATTAAAATTGTGAAATAATCTAATTTATTTAATTAATTTGCTAATTTGTATA